CGCCGCATCCGTGGCGAGCGAGCCTGAGCCTCCCACCCTCCTACAGCCAAACCGAAAGGCTCTTTTAAGAGCCACCACAAGTCCACCGGAGGGAGCTGTTGTCTCTGTTACGGTGTGGGCGCAGGCAGCCCGTGGCAAGCCTTTTTAGTGCTCAAGGCTGTGTCAATTGTGGGATAACGGGGGGCGGAGGGTGAAGTGCGGGCCTTCTGTATTGTCCAGCCGTGCCCTCCTTTCATCCCGCCCTGTCTGTGGTGGTCGTTGTGAGGTTCAGTGATCAGAGCTTTCGGCGCTGGGAGGGAGGGAAGGAGGGTTGAGGTGCGTGGAGGTGAGAGCGGTGCCTAGAGAACAGGCAGCCGTAACCAACAGGAGCGGGGAGTAGGGGAAGCCTTTTGAGCACAGGGCTCGCAGCCTCTTTGCTCTGCAGCCCCCAGGCGCTAGCGAGTGCTGTTYGCTGTTTCTTCTCCCCCGCCTTCCCGCTCTGTCCCGCCCACATAATGGCAGAGAGGAAATGTACCGCCATTTCGCGAGCTTCCCCTTCCAGGCTGTGGCGGTGAAGCTGGTASTGCGAGAGCGGCTGCCGCAATGGCGGTTGGCCACGACCTCCCACCGCTTTTTGCTCGCCTGTCCCTTCTGCTGCGCTTTCGAAAGAGTCTGGGTTCGGCGGCTTGTGGTCGGGTGCGGAGGAGAATGGGGGAAACGGACTAATTTTGAGAAGGCGCGTTTCCTCCTTTAGCGCCAGGAGCCCCCTGTAACGCGGTACACCCGTTACTCTCGTATTGTTCCCGGAGGACGATCAGAACATTCCCGCCTCCCGAACGCGAGAAGTGCCCCCCTGAAGCGCGAGAGGACTGGTGGAAGAGGATGTGGGGTACAGAGGAAACAAATAGACAAAATTGTTTCCTCTGACCTGCCTCCCTCCCTCCCCTCCCCCCAGACCGACTTAGACAAACAAGGTAGCTACATAGAAACAAAGAMACTACACAGCGATTTAAAGCTCTTTTTTGAGAGTTGTGGGTGGCTCTGAAAAGAGCCTTTGTGTTCTGAAAGCGTTAAGCTGTARCGGGAAYAGAATTTAGCCGCCGAAGCCGTAGAGAGTACGACCCTGGCGCTTGAGAGCGTAGACCACGTCCATGGCCGTGACAGTCTTCCTCTTGGCGTGCTCGGTGTAGGTGACRGCGTCGCGAATCACRTTCTCCAGGAACACCTTGAGCACACCGCGCGTCTCCTCGTAGATGAGCCCCGAGATGCGCTTGACGCCGCCGCGCCGAGCCAGGCGGCGGATGGCCGGCTTGGTGATGCCCTGGATGTTGTCGCGCAGCACCTTGCGGTGGCGCTTGGCGCCTCCTTTGCCGAGCCCCTTGCCGCCCTTGCCCCGTCCAGACATGACTGCACCCGCTCAGTCTTCGACACACTGCAGCAGAAAGCGGCCCCGAGCTTCCCTTAATTGCCGGCGGTCCGACCTGGTTGAGGACTGCAGCGGGAGGCGGGGTCTCGTTCCCAGCCTCCCCCCGCTCGGCTCCCCCCGCTCGGCTCCCCCCGCTCGGCTCCCCCCGCTCGGCTCCCCCCGCTCGGCTTTGTACGGGCTTCCCGCGAGACGTGGCCGAGGCGCATTCCCCTTTGTGTCCCATGGACGCGCGCAGCGTCTCTGCTTTTCCCAGCCGGGCTCTGGCGTCCTTCCGCGCTTCTCGCAGTCACAGAATCATAGTATATTGCGAGAGAAGAGAAGGAACCCACAAACATCATCAAGCCAATCTGTAAAGTGGTTGGCTCATACAGGCATTGAACGTAAAAGCTTAGCCTTTTTATCTCCAGGTCCTAACCAACAGAGTTTATGGCATTGTCGGGCCGCAATGCGCTGTGCCTACCCCCTGTCAGCCCGTGCATCTCTTTGCTGCTTTCCTGTCCCTCCCCATTGTCCTCTACTCTGGGAAGAGTTCCACGGGAGCTCTGGGTCTCCGCCGGCATCAAGAGCGGGACCTGCGAGCCTCGGCCCGCGTTTCGGGCTGCGGCGCCCTTTCCTCTTCCCTCCCCGCTGSTCTGCGGCAAAATCCGACCAATGCGGGACCTCGCCCAGCGCTCCTGCCCCTCCCCACTGATGTTCCACCTCCCGCTCCCGGGAAGCCGGCGGAGGAGACTTTTGCGGGTAGCGCTCTTTGTTTGCTTCGGCCATGGCGGYTTCGCGTTTTCTTTGTTTATCCAGACACTCCCACCGCTGGCCCCTCCTCCGTGAGGTCCTGGGGTCTGGACACCGAGCGTTCCGCTCTTTCATGTTCGCACGGAGCGACTGTAGGTCGGTGATAGGGGAAGGAAGGATGGAGGCCCTGAGCTGCAGGGGAAATCATCAGTGGGGGGCTGCAGTGGGAAACCTTTTGACCCGAGACTCTTTGAAGGCAATTCGGAGGGGCAGTTTCCGAGCCCGGAAGGGACCATATTTTCAGCGTGGTCCAGCCCCGCAGAGCGGTCTCGGGGCAGCGCTGGCCTCAAGGCTCCGGGCTCGCTCCCGGCAGCTGCTGACCTCTGAAAGAAGTGTCTGYTGGCGTAAACTGAGATCCAACAAGCGAAAGAAAACATTACCAATATTACAAACAACTGTTTGTATGATACCTGAAAAATGAACGCTAACGACGCAATTTTTGTTCCAATGAGAAATCTAGAAATTTTGCCGTGTGTTTCACACTTTTCAAAAAACATGTCATATGTGCTCCTTACAGTATGTTGGACTGTATTTGCAAAGTGAATTAATAAATAATGAGAGAATTATGAGACTGTTTTTTTTTTTAAATGGAATCTTTAAAGGTCCTTAATATTGCTTACACAGAAGAGAAATAATATGGCTACAGTGCTTGCCAATTCTTATATTATTAGTATTTTTTTGCATTTTAAACATATCCACTGTTTTATAGTTTTTCATATCCTTTTATATTTGCACAGCTGGTTATTTAAATTTATTCCTAAATATAATTTAGAGAACATTGACAACGTTTGCAGAATATTTATCAGAAGAAAAGTATTCCCTAAATGCAGGGGGAAATGTAATTTGGATAGTCATGCATTCAGTTACAGGTGTCAAACAAGTGCAAATCTTGTTTGAAATATCACTGTGAATTCCTTTTTCTTTCAAATTTGAAGAATTGCCACTTATATATACAATACWAGGAGGCAAATGTATCTTTAATTTATATTAGGTTTGTTTTGTTGACTGAACAGAATGAACTGCTTACAGACTAACTGGGAGATTTTTCACTAGTGGACCTGCCAGGCTGATGCCTAATATTGGCATTTGGCTCCACAAATTCTGCTTTGTTCTTTGTATCTGAAGGTCTGTGTCTAGTTATGTTTCCTGAGACAGGTGTGAACAACATTCTGAATATTTGAGAGCCAAAAGGAATTACACAAAATCTTTTAGTATGTCAAAATAATAATTTATTCTTAAGTCTTCCTAAATACAGAGTGAGGATCCTAGTATAACTTTTCCTTCCAGCAGTATAACCACTGCAAGACTTAAAAATTCCCCGTTCCTTTCTGCCAGAAATGGGTGATGCCGAGGTTGAAACCAGTAGCTTAGATTAAGTAAAGCAGTTGCAAACCCCTGCCCTCACTAAGTGTAGTACATTAGATATAATTTAACATCATGCCTTCTGGAAGGCTATCTTGCCTATAGGTTGCTAGAATTGTGCACAGATATGTTTCACGGGTGTTTCTGTTAGGGACATATTCTATATGGTCTCTCATGGATCAAAGCATTTTCYTAGGCAAAAATAATTAAAGCAGAAAGAAATTTTGCTGCAAAATATAATTGCTAATGAAGTTGTTCCTATTGTTGATCAGAGATAATTTTAACTTGGATCAAAGTTTAGTATCCAATCCTCATGTTACAGATTCTGCAATTTCCTCACAAATTTGGGTGCATTGCCCTCGGGGTTAAATGAGAATGGAAACCTTTGCAAAACTCAGTTTTCTAAAAAAACAAAATAAACATCTGTAGCATTTCAARTGCACACTAATTAGGTGAGTTGCCCTAGTTCCTGATTAAATTATAATGAGGAAATCRTATTTGTTTATTGCAATAAGACAATGCCTCACCATGACTGCACAAGAAAGTATGTAATTAGTAAAAAAAATCATTGCATCAGTGTGTTATAATCAACTTCAAAGCTGCTAATACTTTTCCTGGGAGCTTAAGTGGCAATTTAAATCCACATCTGTATCTGCTACAACTGTTGTAATAGTTATAATAATATGCAAAGCAAAGTAAGAGCTGTTTGATAGGTACATTTTCCTAGAATTGCAAGCAATATAGATTAAAAGGGATAGAAAAGCTGTTCAAATTTTTAACTATCAAGTTTTAGGTCTTTTGATATGTAAACTGACATTACTGAGTTATGCCCAAACAYAACTGTGAACTGTGACCTAAAACATTTGAGGGACCTTGGTTGGAGGAGTTCTTTTTTTTCCATCACAACTTGTTTAGATTGTGAAGGTACATTACAACCCCATGACACAGCTAAGGCACCATGTCATAGAGATTTCCTCTTTTGTACTGCTTGTTGTGTATGCAAATAAGAYAGATTCATTTATTTAAACTTGATCAGCTGCATTCCTTCATCCACTGGAATTTGCTTGAAAGCTGTCTTTAATACCAGGAAATCTTCCAGCAGTATCATCCATGTAATCCATCTGACTTGCAGGGCTTTTGCATTTGAGACMTCATCAGTGTTGAGGCAGCCAGGGTTAGCAGTCGGTGAAACCATTACTGGCTAAGGACAAAAYGAGGGTGTATTAAGGAGAGGATCTAAGCATCACAGAAGATGAAACTCATGTGTACTGAGATGAGAAGAATGAGTGTAATAAAAGGTGTTTGGAATGAAATTCTGAAGCAAATAATAAATTCCTGGTCAGGTGACATGAAGAATTTGTAGAGATGTGTTGGATTTAGCTCCACACTCAGGACGGCCCTTCTCTTGTGGTACCAACTCTGACCTCCACATACAGGAGTTTGTCCACAGAGAAAGCAACTCCTGCTTAGACACCTCTACCCCATAGCCTTTCTCTGGAATTCCAGTGCTTTGGTCTAGAGATACACACCTGYGGTCCAGAAAGCCCATCGTGACCTGGGCTGCATCAAAAGCAGCCTGAACAGCAGGTCCAGCGAARTCATTGTCCCATTCTTCTCAGCTCTCATGTGATCCCATTTGAAGCCTTCATCCTCTGTGGTCTTCTGTCCTAAGGAACACATGAAWCTGCCAGAGCAGGTCCAGAGAAGTGCAACAGAAATGATCAGAGGGCTGGGTCAGCTCTCCCATGAAGGAAGGCTGAAAGAGCTGCAGTTGTTCAGCCAGGGGAAAAGCARGTTCTGGGGAGACTTTATAGCAGSCTTTCAATTCAGAAAGGYAGAGTTCTTTTCAGGCCTTTAGRGGCAAGAGGAAGGCAAATGATTTCAAACTAATAAGCGGCTACATTTAGATTGGACATAAGTAAAAATTTTTTTGCAATGAGGGTTGTGGATCACTGGACAAGGCTGTCCAGGGAAAATGTGGGTGCCCTATCCCTAGCAGATAGTCAAAGTCAGGCTGGATGGGCTTTGAGTAACATGGGCTAGTGAAAGGTGTCCCTGCCCACAGCAAGGGGATTGGATGAGATTGTCTTTAATGGTCCCTTCCAACCCAGACCATTCTGAGATTATGATTTCCTGACAAACATATACATAGAAATCTTGTCTGAAAACTAAGWACAGAAGACTTGTGCATGTTAAAACAGAATTTTGATTACCATTGCAGTTTTTAAGGAAGAGAAGTACAAGGGCCAGGACATATGTAGCTGTAGCAAAGGATGATCAGTAAAACACAATAAGACCACTACAACCCTAAATGTGTCCCCTTAAAACAAACAAAACCTTTAGACACGAATACCATCACTAGAAGAGATTAGTGTGGTGCTCCAGCAGCTCTCTTTTTGTTTCTTTCCACAAATGATCCCTGATGTCCCACTTTTGGCCATGGCACAGTGCTGCATAAAAAGCCTCTCAGCTGAGAGACTGTGGGTGTCAAAGAGAAGCAGGGTGGGAGTAGTGTCTTTCCCCAAGCACAGAGCACTCCTCTCCAGGGGATGAAAGGTGCAGAGGTGTAGCAACGATAAGACAAATCACCTCCATGCAGTGTGCTAAAGAGCATCAGATAAAGCTTCTGGGAATATCCTAGCAAGAGGAATCCACTAACAACTCTTTCTCATAATTTATAATAACGAATATAAAGAGATTTAAGGTTGTGCTCTTGGATGATATCTGTACAGCCAACATAGGTATACCAACTGATATAACAAGGGGACTAGCAACCAACAGTGAGGGAATTTAAGAATAGAAAGTTTGAAAATTTCACTTAAAATGGGAATATAGTAGCACTGCAATGCACTTCGGAGTGGAAAAATGCTACATTTACTCTAGAGTGCATGTCTGACTAAGTAAAGATCTGGATCAAAAAGAACCATTCTTTCCTAAGGCATTCCTATTTCTATAAAAATTTGACTCATAGGGAAACTTTAYATCTGTTAAAGAATGGAGGTCTTTAAAGAAAATTAAATGTCTTCATTCTTAGATGTAGTTCCATCTAGGATTTGAGATGATACCCCATTTTTAGGTTGCACAGCTTTCGCGAGTCCCACCCCCACTTTAGCCACCCTCCCATATTTCACACCCGAAGTAACCTGTGAAACCATGATAGGTGAGCAGAATCAACAAAGAACAAAGAACAAGTTTTGTACTGAATGTTACAAATAMGTAAAATAAGTCACTACAAAAATAGTAACCATGAGAGTRAATTAGAAAGCAAATGTAGAAGGCCAATTTGGTAGAAACAAAATTTAAAACCACAGAAATTCACTTTAAACATAGTATCGTTTAAGACTAAGTAACAGAGCACCTTTGTAAAGCTAGCAACACCAACTCTTTTTTGACTGTGTGGGTGGCTCTGAAAAGAGCCTTTGGTTTAAAATGTTACGTCGTGCAAAGTCTGAGTAGCTTTGCTCGCCGAATTTATTTGCTCTTAGCTTTATGGCTCTCAGTCTTCTTGGGCAGCAGCACGGCCTGGATGTTGGGCAGCACGCCRCCCTGCGCGATCGTCACCTTGCCCAGCAGCTTGTTGAGCTCCTCGTCGTTGCGGATGGCCAGCTGCAGGTGGCGGGGGATGATGCGCGTCTTCTTGTTGTCGCGGGCCGCGTTGCCCGCCAGCTCCAGGATCTCGGCCGTCAGGTACTCCAGCACGGCCGCCATGTAGACAGGAGCTCCAGCGCCCACCCGCTCCGCGTAGTTACCTTTCCGGAGGAGGCGATGGACGCGSCCCACGGGGAACTGCAGCCCGGCCCGCGACGAGCGCGACTTGGCCTTGGCTCGGACCTTTCCTCCCTGTTTCCCACGGCCGGACATACTGGAAACACCGGATGAAGCACAGGCTCTCCACACTCCGGAAAAGCGAGATAATTAYACTGACGCAAACACCGCTCCCCTTTTATACCTTTCCAGGGCGGGATGAGCCCTCGGCCATTGGCTGGAAGCGGTCGCTGCTGAAGAACCAATCAGCAGACGGATCGTATTCTGACCAATCGGGGACGGAGACGCGCCCCGTGAGCGAAGATCCAACCTCATTGGACARCGCTGAGGCCGATATTTGCATACGGCGCTGCTATAAATAKTGGGCGCTGCAGCCRTTTCATACGCAGACCTTTYTCCAGGAGGARAATTWCTGCTAAAATGCCCGAGCCRGCCAAGTCCGCTCCTGCGCCCAAGAAGGGCTCYAAGAAGGCGGTCACCAAGACGCAGAAAAAGGGTGACAAGAAGCGCAAGAAGAGCCGCAAGGAGAGCTACTCCATCTACGTGTACAAGGTGCTGAARCAGGTGCACCCYGACACGGGCATCTCGTCCAAGGCCATGGGCATCATGAACTCCTTCGTCAACGACATCTTCGAGCGCATCGCCGGCGAGGCGTCGCGCCTGGCGCACTACAACAAGCGCTCCACCATCACGTCGCGGGAGATCCAGACGGCCGTGCGCCTGCTGCTGCCCGGCGAGCTRGCCAAGCACGCCGTGTCCGAGGGCACCAAGGCTGTCACCAAGTACACCAGCTCCAAGTAGGGCGTCTCGGATCGTGACTATCAACCCAAAGGCTCTTTTAAGAGCCACCCACATATTCCATAAAAGAGTTGATCACACAGTACTGCTTTGGTCTTGGGTATGGGACTTAAAGAAACCATAAATAAAGTATTAAACRTTTCATCAGTCTCTCAGTCTTGCAATGGTAATTATGAAGTCCTTAAAGCTAGTTAAAATGCTTTCACTATTCATAAATGTAAACGTTGATGTAGTTTTCTAATAAATGAACAGTATTAAGCCTTCTTTTTACAGTAAAAGACAATACCTTATTGTTTCATGAATATTAGGAGTGTCACGCAGTTGAATTAGCAATTATACTTCAAGAAAATAAAAATAATTGAAAAAGGGTGAGGGGAAAACAACCGACTCTTATTTTTTCTTGTACACGTGTCACGGAATACTCTTAAGCTTAAACATTTTGCCTTATATAAAAGGACTAGAAGATTGGGCGAAGGGAGAACGTTTGAAATGGGCTTGACGGTTTGGGATGGTAACTCAAAACGCGGGGAGCCGGGAGCACGGGTAGGCTCAGAGCCAGGGCGCGCAGAGCTCCTTCACCCCCTTTTTCCACCCTCTCTACTCCCCGCTTTCCCTTCCCCCTCCTCTTCCTCTGCAGCGCGGGCTTTTCCAAATTTCCCAGCGGCCCAATAAGCGGCTCCAGCTTCTCCAATGAGCCAATCACAAGCGGTTCCGGGCAGCCCCCGGTGCTGTGCCGAGCGCTGCGCCGCTCCGCCTCTGCGCTCCCGCCCGCGATCTTCGGGAGTGCTGCCTGGCGGAGCTCCAGACGCGCCGGCTGCACCGCCACCAGCCCGGCAGGGTGCGGAAGAGGARCGCTGGTGACTGCTGCCCGCCTCCCGCCCCGGCAATCGCCTCCTCGAAAAAGTAGGTCGGTCAAATCACGCAGAAATTAAGACCTGCCCCACGACAGCGCTGGCAAGTGGAAATGTCATTGCCAAGGAAGCGGAGGAGTCTTGCTGACAGTTCCCTGCTACGGTCACTAAGAGGTGTGGCAGTCACATCCGTGCTGTTAGGAATCGCGCTGATTTAGAGCAATGAGAAAAAGCCTCCACGCCCCGAGAAATGCACCCGCCCTTAAGCAGTCCCTTTAACACATACACCGACATGCGGTGCATAAAAAAAAAAAAAAAAAAAAAAAAAAAAAAAAAAAAATAAAAGGCAGGAAAAAAAAGCAGCCTTTAGAAAGCGTTTTCGCAGGAAATGTAAACTTTTATTTTTCCAAGTCAGTGTAAAACCACGGCCGGAAGTTTAGTGTCCTATCCACTCCACACACGAACGTCCCACACGGATAGTGGCGAATAGTTAGCATTGCTGCAGGCACAGAGCTCAGTGACGGAGTGTATCAGCCCTTTTCGGGACAATAGTGGGTGGCTCTTAAAAGAGCCGTTGGGTTTAAAAGTATTACCACATCAACACTTCATTTCTTGGGCGCTGCCTTCTTTGCCTTGGCTGCTTTCGGCTTCGCCGCCTTGGGCTTGGCTGCTTTGGGCTTCACCGCCTTTGCCTTTGCCGGGCTCTTCGCTGCTGCCGCCGCTTTTTTAGGCTTGGCAGCTTTTGTCGCCTTCTTAGGGCTCTTTGCTGCTTTCTTGGCCGCTGCAGCCGCCGGTTTCTTGGCTTTCTTGGGGCTCTTCTTCACCGCTGCCGCCTTCTTGGGCTTCTTGGCGGCGCTAGCGGGCTTCTTAGCCGCCGGCTTCTTAGGCTTGGCTGCAGCAGTTCTCTTCTTGGGGGCTTTTTCCTTCACTTCTCCGGGTTTYTTGCTGAGGCGGAAGGAGCCGGAGGCGCCGGTGCCCTTGGTCTGYACCAGGGTGCCCTTGCTGACGAGGCTCTTGAGCCCCAGCTTGATGCGGCTGTTGTTCTTCTCCACATCGTAGCCGCCGGCRGCCAGCGCCTTCTTGAGCGCGGCGAGGGAGAGCCCCTTGCGCTCCTTGGAGGCGGACACGGCCTTGGTGATCAGCTCGGTGACGCTGGGCCCCGCGGGCCTGCGGGCTTTGGAGGCGCTCGCCGCCTTCTTCGGCTTCTTGGCGGCCTTGGCGGCGGGGGCCGCGACAGCGGGAGCGGCGGCGGGAGCGGTCTCCGACATCGCTGCGGAGACTTCTTCCTAATCAAAAGAAAGTAATTGGGCTACAGTAACCCCGATGCCTGAATTTATAGCGAAGCGGTGATCTGTGATTGGTGCTTTGCAGAGCCCGCCTAACTGTTAGCCAGGAAGAGCTTTTCCTCCTCCGAGTCTGTGTTTCTTCGGAGTTATAAATTCATATTTTTTGTAAAACGAGTGCCGCAAAATCACCCCAGTTTCTTCGGAGAGTGAAGAGAAGACGGTGGACTTTCATTCGGGCAAGTTTCTTGCTATTTGGACCACAGATGGGAGAGAAAAGCCGTTTTTAACCACGCGTTGTGAAGCCAGAGAGACCCCGGGAAMGGCAAACTTTTGTTTTTCCTTCTAAATTAAAATAAAACACGTAGATAAAAAGTCTCCCCCGTAATGCAGCCTTACTCTTGGGGGGRTTTTCTCCAGATTAGGACAGAAACTGAGTGGGCAGCTTGAGTATTTTTGTCGTAAAATGATTTCAAAGACAAGGAAGTAACACAATTTCATGGCTGAGCTTTGAATATGGATAAAGATTCGGCTCTCTTAACCATATCTTTAACTATTAAGGATACACTATTTCAACGGAATTTCTTGTTTTGGGAAAGGAAGAGACCTTCAGAGGAATATATTTACTGTTGAAAAGTGTTTGGAACTTGCCAGGGCTCTCCTTTTTTTTGTCAGGTTTTTTTTTGGTGTGTTTTGTTTTGTTTTTTTTTGTGTGGTGCTCTTTAAATGGATAGAAAGATTTTGATATTTTTACAAATAGCCTGTTTGTAAAATGAAGCTGTTAATGTTTASTTAATGTCTAGAAATCCCAGATAAACTGCTGATTTAACACTTTCTCGGTTACAACAGTGGATGTATTCTTTAAGGCTTACAAACATCAGAGACAGACTTGGAGAGGAAAAATGTCTAACAGGTATAGATACACTAATATATATACTATACTACTTGAACAATTTTGGAGTCAGATGAATCATTAGTTATCACTCAATAATTTAAATACTGTGGAAATGTGACATGTATGAATAGAATTCTTCAGTTTCAATATGACATAAATATTTTGGCACTGACTGTTGTGGTTTTGTTTTTTTGTTTGTTTGGTTGGTTTGGTTATTTTTCGTTTGTTTCATATTCCTCCAATTCTTTTTTTTTTTTTTTTTTTTTTTCTTAAGGAAAAGGAAAAAACTCACTCTTGAGGTTTTCATCCCAATCCTAAGAATATTGAAATCATTTTCAAACAATCCTCATAAATCAGAATCAGTTTTAATTATCACAATCCCACTCAATTATTGATTCTCATTAAGTGACAATAGAAATTAATTACAATTTGTAAGGACTGCTATGAATTGTTTGGGCTAAGTGTTTTTAAATCAGAAGACAAAAGCCTTAATTGGTTTCTAAAYAAAAAGCAGCCAGATTTTTTCACTCTTGCTTTAAAAGTCCAAGTTATGATCAAACTTATTAGTTTACCCCATTGTACTTTTTTAAAAATACATCACGCAAAATGTCAGTGGGCTACTTCAACAAAGGAACATCTTTTCTAGAATGGATAAATTTGAGATTCAAGATGACAGGAGGTATGCTACAGAGGGCCCAGACATGTATTTTGATACACCGGATGTTGAAGACACAATAAAGTTATTCTTGACACAAGCAATTTCAGTTGAAATGATATAGATTAAAATAGCAATGATACATTAGATACATTAGAATTACAGGTGAAAAAAAATGAAGCATGACTCTTCCATATTCTCTTTTGTTTTTATTTTTACTTTGTTTTGTTTGCATGCAGGTGAGACAATAAATACTTTGAAGGAGAGGAACAGAAAGCAGAGATTGGAAAAAATTAGTCTTGTCTGTACTCCACAGTAAAAAACAGACTGAAAGGCATATTGAAGTGGGCTGTGAAATCTGCCATGTTTCTCGTGAACATGACATCGTTCCCAAATACACATCTAGAACAAGTTCACAGTAGCCATAGATTTTGGAAGTTCAGTGTGGCAAGTTGTATGAATAATATGAATATGTTTGAGATGTAAAAAAGTAGTTGGTTGCAGTAGGATGAGCACATTATGCATATTTTTCASTTTAGTCGAACAAAGCAGAATTTGACTATAAGTTATACAAAAGACGGAGCTGAGAAATATTGTCATTTACCCGGATCTGTTTAATGTGATGTACATTCTTTAGAGAATAAGGAATGCACAAAGGTTAATGTGCTTTAATCCCTGCAGCTTTCACAGTTTAGTGTTAGATCTTGGTGACGGGTTCACTACACTTGAAACTGGTTAAGAAGCTGGGAGCAACTGGGAGCAGACAGTAACCGCTCCTACAAGAATGCAGCTGTAGCCCCAGGGGCTCATCCTCTTTACACCTCCCTCGCATTCACACATTTGGGCAAGTTTCCCTTCAAGSTTGCTTTTAGCAAACCTATTCTCAGTCCATCAGGAGAGGAGAGGTTTCCCTCCCCTCCCCTCCCCCATAAACTGGCCACACGTTAAAGACACAAGGTAGAAAGTGGTGGCAGAAGAGATCTTAGATCTTGCTCCCTAAGTAGCTCAGTCACTAGAATTCCACTTGCAACCCACAAGGATTGCTGTCCCTACTCTATCATAAATTTTAAAGGCACAGGAACGTTTCTGGATGTTTTTGGAATTTGTTTGTTTGCTTTTGTTTTGTTTTTGTAAGGAAAGCATATGAAGAGGATTGTAAAGGTCATTATCTAAGGATTTCAAGTGYAGAATTTAGTGTTTCTCTCACTTCCAGATCTGGGTGCATTCCTGCAAATCCTCGTGTTCCCTGTTCCCTATTTTGAGTTGCACTTCTGAAGTCCTTTGCTTTTTCCCGGTAGCCTGAGACACTGGAAGCCTTGGCAGCTGGCCTCGGGCACTGTGTGTCAGCATGCTTTATTGTATCTTTTCCTTAACCATCACAATGGCTCTTATCTRCACAGAGAATTATCCCTGGCCTACTTCTGAGAAGACAAAATGTTCCTGGTCTTGCCATCCATTTCTGGGGAAGGCAATCTCTTGGTTTTTTTTGTGGGGTGTGGGTTTTTTTGGTTTTTTTGTTTTTTGTTTTTTGGTTTTTTTTTTTGTTAAATAGAGGGGATTTAGAAATATAAAGTGGTGTGAAAAACACGAAGTTTTTTCTAGGGTTATTTCAACACTCTGAGCCAAATAATGACATTTTCTATTTAATTGGGTAAAACAAACWTGTCAGAAACTTTGAGCAATTTTCAACTTTACACTGCTGGAAATTTCTGTTAAATGCAACCCTGAACCATAAAGAAAATTCTCCTATTTTAGAGACTGATCGTTGCAAATAACCTTGACATTGCCTTGGGTGTTTTACTGATCAGAGAGAAAGACAAGCAAAGCAAGCATCTGAGCACCTATCTTATCAAATTAATGGTAGATTATGCAGTAGTTTTTCAACCAGACATAGAAATTATCTTTCTGTCCAACAAAACTACTTGAAAATAAAARAAGTTTTTTGAGTGAGCTGCTAATAAAAACTGTTTGCAGTTTCCATGTGAAGAAGAGAAGATATTTAAATATGACTCATTTAATGTTCAAACAGCAARCAGTTTTTGTATTGTCCCTGGTTTCCTTTCCAAGTACCCTGTAGAAGTGCAGACTCTGTTTATCTCTTACTGAGGAACTCAAACCAGTTTGTTATGCCCTCTTCCAACGCACACCCAAAACACAGCCTGGTGCCTGTGTACCATCACACACATACTCTGGGTTCCCTGCCCAGCTGTGTAGGTGCTAGTGCAGGTTACAGAGGAACATAAAAAATGACAGAGTACTTTCTAATGCAAAGATCTTCAAAACCAAAGTAGCTCACATATAACGCAACAATTTCTAAAGTGGTGTACTAGAGAAAATACTTTTATTCATGTCAAGACAGAAGCTTCCCAAGGAGGAGAAACAGATTAGACATTAGACAAATAAAGGCAAATAAGACTTTCAGACTGCAGGAGAAGAGCAATCCAGATAAGTTGATTAGACAAATTCAGCTGAAAGCCTGCACTCACTTAATTACAATTACTATAGTTAGGATGGTGAAGGTATGGAGAAATTGACAACTTTCAATGAAGCAGGATGTCTTCTTCATAATAATTTTGCAGACATTCAAGTAATCACTCTCAATATTAATAATAAAAACATTTTATTGTTAATAATAAAACCATATCAGTATAAAAWGATGTTAGGTCTGTCACATTGAAACTACATTGATGATATTGATTTAGCAATTGCAAAGCTTCTGTGTAGGGAAGATTCAAGTTGTCAAAGGGTTTTCAGAAGCAAAGCAGCTTGTATCCTTTCAGTTACACTTCAACTAARCTAACAAAAATACATTGATGGTTATTTCAGCATTAGGGCAATCACATCTCCTAAAAAAGATATCTTATCTTTTAATCTAACACTTAATGCAGTAGGACCTGGCCATGTTCAARGGAGGGTCAGCTAGAGCAGGGGGACACTAAAACGTCTCTGGGGAGCATGTTCTAAAAAATTGTTTCTTACATGTAAGTAGAATTTCCCGTGTTTCAGTTTGTGCCCATTGTCTCTTTTCCTGGGYATTACTAAGAAGATTTGATCTGTATCCTCTATTCCCTCCATATTCTTACTCTTCATGTGAGAGATGCTTCAGTCCCTTCATCATCTTTGTGGCCCTTCACTGGTCCCACCCCAGTTATGTTCACATTTCTGTTGCTTAGGGAAAACCTGGACACAGCATTCCAGTTTCTCTCAGCAAGGTCGAGTTTTCCCTCAGTACCATTTTGCATGTAGTGTCTGGGTTAATTTGTGAGGCCTATGTAGAGGTTAACCCTCAATGACACTCCTGTGGCTTTCAAAATTTTGATAGTTCAATACAGACAGCTCAAAAAAACARTTGTAACCTCTCACACAGTCCTTAGTTTCGAGGATTATCAAGATAAGTTTGAGCAACCCTGATTTGGCTCTGTGCTCATGCTGTATTTGACTGAAGGCTCTGTTAAGGCTAGTTAGAGTCTCAGCAAAACTT